AGTGATGAACTGCCATTAAATATTTTAAAGTGTGTGTGTTTTCAGGACAAAAAAAAAGGTGTAAGAGAAACGATATTAAACTACATTTGGATCATAAGCATATGAAACTTAGAAAATATTATCTTAATGGGATCCTGGCAGGCAATCTGAACACTGGGAATTAGCAGCAATTCCCTCCAGGTGATTCCATGGGAACTTGACCCATCAAGTCATCAGGGCAGATTATTATATATGTAAAGTGCTCTCTGAAACTGTGGCACCCAAATACCACGTGTCCCTGTTCCAATTGTCACATGCACTGCAAGAGGCTTTGATGTCTCTGTGCTTGCAGAGCTTCACATCTTTCACAACAGACACAAAAAATACATATCCAGCCTTTTTTTAGACACCTAAACATCATTACCTGCCTGACTTAAATCCCTCAGATTTGCTTTAGTGACTAGAACAAGTATGGAGAATTTTTAGATATTTGCCTATTTTGTACCTTGCAAACCTTCTTCTTTGTCTTTCCTTGTTTACCAACATCCATATTTGCTCTCAGGACACAAATCCCTCTCATTTGTTGCCATTCCACTGACTGTTTTGTTTGGTTTTTTCCCCATAAACTCCCTGTGATGACATTATAATCTCTTCCAGTCACCACCATGATCCATAAGAAAATTCAGAAATCACCACGGAAAAGAACAATGTGTGATCAGATGACAAATTTTAACACTGTTTTAGTACCAAAACTAGCTGAAATTTGAGGTTTGAACCATGCCTAAATCCATCATAGCTGGTGTTATTCACTTCACAACATACATGTCAGTCATGCACTCAAAATTACACTAATCAGGGCTTTTCTTTCCCTGCTGGTAAACTAGTGTTGCTATTGTAAAGCATATATGCCTATATCCAAATTTTTCAGAGGCACGTATCTAATTTTTCCTGGCAATGAAACAACAGCCTGATTTTCCAGTCCTGCTGGGCAGCCAACATTTTTAATTGCCTTTAATTTTCTGGAAATCCAATTGGTTTGAAAAACCAGTTCATTTAGGATTCTCTTCTTTCTAGAGGATTAGAACACATGAAATGACACCTATTGTATCAAGGTATCTCTTGGATCAAACATCTGTATTTATACATGCAAACATCCAGCATGCCAATTAAGCACTTGACTAATTTAAAGTACATGTGACTAAATCATACTAATGGTTGACCCATTTAAAAGCTTCAGAGCTTCTAACAACTGGACAAAATACTGCTGTGTTCAGCTGGGAATCTTTTCTTGTGCAGAATGAAGCTTTTATGGGCAAAACCATGTTTCAAAACAGATGTTTTATTATTTATTAGGTAAATGCTTCAGATAATGCTGCTAATAATACAGAGGACAAATGGAGGAAAACATTCCTAACCTTACGGGTGCTTGAGCTTGAAAGGGAATCAAATAAAAAGAGCTACATTAACAAAAGAAAATTGTATGTATATGATGTGAATTAATTTTAATAATGTAGTTTTATGGAATAAAAACATAAATATCCAGGATGCCAAACACATGTTTAAGCAACTCTCCACTTGGCAAGTGCTGTATTTCTTATACTTTTCTTGTTCTTCTTTCACTTATCTCAAGGACTATATTACAGCTGTCTTTCCAGCACTAAATATGAAACACAACTTCTTGATGATGATCATGAGTACTGTTTATGAAAATCAATAAATTATTGCAAACCATTAACATAGATTAATTACATTCGGTTTTGGTAAAAAATACAGAAAAAATTATTTTGCTCTAGGACTGGTGTATCTATTGGCATTTAGGAACCACAAAGTTTGAAGACATCTAGTTCAAAATCACTGAAGTCACTCTCATGTTTTCAATGTTTTCCACTAGATCTGATAACTGAAAATACAAAATTTAAAAATCTACATGTAGTCAAGTTACTGAATGATAAACTTATCACCGTGATGGCTTAAGCTGTAAATTGCTTTCAGACATACCCCACAGAGTACATAGGGATGCCCAGTTTATTATTACCTCTCTTATTGCATCTCTCCTCCTCACCACATACTATGTCCAGCACCTCCCACATGTCACCCAGAGGTTGGAAGGCCTTCAAGAGCATGATATTCACGTGTCTGTAATTGCAAGTTTGACATATTAAATTGTTTTCGGTGTGTATTGTCAGCTTGAAATCAAGACAGACAATATGTTCTGTCTTCTGTATTACAATGGACATTAATCTGTTGTTTCTATTCATATGTCTCTGGGTTTTTTTCCAAAATATAATAGCAACCTTCTTTTTCTGCCTGTATTTGTCACACTCAATCTTCTATTGTGTGAGTAAACAGATAAATATTAGTCTATGTTGCTCTTTCAGTGATTTTTCTGGGCCCTGATATTTACACCAGGTGTGACAGCAAAAGGATGGGTGGAAAAGTAATTTGCAGAGGTCCCTGAGGGACTGTAAATATCCAAAGGTTGGCTATTGATAAAGGCCAATTACTATTTCAAGTCTTGAGAATAGATTCATTATATTACTTCACAGTTGGAGTACAGGCGGTGCTGAATTTGTTTCAGGACTGAAAACATACTCAGTAATATCAATTATATTTTTATTATGTGAGCCTAAACCAGAGTTTTTATGTTTTTCTTTCTGACCTTATTCCTTGTGGCATAGGTAGAAAACGTATCCAAGCCTCACCTCTAGATACACAATTTGGATACTCTGGAGGATACAAATTTGAACATATTTAATAGAAGGGTCAAAAATTAAGTTTCCCAATCCTGTGATAACTGTTCTCATCAATAATCAACTTAATTAAGAAATAGGCACTCTCTGCCTTGTGCTTCTCTTTTCTGATCTTTTAGAATAAAATAAAGGTTTGGGTGCCTGTGTAATTTAATTAACAAAGCAACAGGCACTATGGACCTTCTACTCAGCTAATTCCCTTGGGTGTAAAACACTGAATTATGTGTTTTATTTACAACACAATGTGTGTGTGTGTGAGTGACACTGACATTGCAGTTTTGTGTTTAAACTCGCTTTAAATACAGAAAACAAAACACAGACAAAAAGCACCATGACTTTTAATCTCCCAAAATCTTAATTAAGGGTGAAGTGTGGTTTGGATTATGCCTCAGAAAGTCATGCAGCAACCCAGAACCAGTCTCCCCAGGTAAATAAAGATGATTAATTCGGAATTGTTAATGGTTTGTTTACTTAACGCATGTATAACAGGAGGCTCACACAGGCAAATAAGACGCCGCAGGAAACAAATATCAAGATAGAAGGGTGGAAAAAAGGAAATAAACGAAGATACCACAGCAAGAAACCAGTGGGATTCGAACCAGTATTCACTGCTTTCTTGACTAAAAAAGTAAAAAATTAGAGCAAGGTGAGAGATAAATGTATTTGTGTCAGGCTTAGCTTTATATGACCTTTCTTATGAAACACAGTCACTTGGTTTTAGTTAAGCTGAAGTGCAAACACTGTTTGCAATACATGCCATTGATGTTGCCACCTGCTGTCCCTTGGGTTTTATTTTGGTTTTTGCATATTTCCTTGGTCAATATTTAATCTCTTCTTGTTTGTTTTTTTATGCAAACATACACGTATGTATATACACTTATAGCTTTTTCTCTCGCATATAATAAAAAGGGTTGATGGGAGAGGAAAGAAGCAGTTTTTACAAGTTACTCTTATTTTGAAACAGATTTGTGACCAGCAAAGTTATCTACACACCTTGACCAGCAATGTTAAACTTTAAAGGAAAAGCAAACAATAACTTTCCATGAAAATGTCCATATTTTCTTCATGTTGCTGATTAGGCAAACTGAAATATCAATCACTGATTAAAAAAAAATCATGTATGTGCAATCCTAGTAGTAAATCTAGATGGTATAGTCTAATGATGTATATTTTGTATAGAAACATCAGAAACATAGGTGATCTTCCTTGCTCTTCTTTATGATGTTGGTTATCATGTTAAGGAAAAAAAGATTATGCGATTCAGAGACATGAAAGAAATGTACCAAATAAGGCTGAAGCAGAAAAAAGGGAGTTTTCTGTTCTTAATTCTGAGGAAAATTAATGATATTCCCTGTGTAGTACAGACAGAGGTTTAACCCTCTAATTCTCAATAACATATACTAGATAAAGCAATTGTCAGATTGAAATAATGAGCTAGACAACTCTTTCTATCTGTTAAGAGAAAAGAATGCAAACACAATCTCGCAGATAAGCAGTTTAAGACGGAATATTCATGTCGTTCAAAGGTTTTACCTCAGAATTAGGAAAAACAACCAGCTGTTAACCACTTTTATCAGCTGCGGTACATGAATTAGGCACAAAGCCAGATCTCCTTCAGTGTTACCAGTGCCTAATGGGAGAACAGTATTTACCTCATGATTTGTAAGCATAACTACATTATTAATTCAAAAGTGGGGTTTTTTTAAGGGTATACATTCAGAGCTATAAAGAAATACTCTTTACTATTCGGCGCATATGATTATTATCAATGTTAATGTATGACCTGTACCTCATTTAAGGTACAAAAGCGAGCCTTTATATAGCTACACATTTATGTAGTTTATATAGTTATATTTGGTCACTTTGATTTTGCAGTTTACAAACATCTTTTTCCTGCCGAAACCAACCCTGCCTCTGAAACTCCGTAAGCAAGTGCAGCCTTCACAGCGCCCTGACCCTGTAATTTCTTAACACTACCTCCACCCTCAGCGGCTGTAGAAAGCTCCGGCATCTCAAAATCTAAATCAGAGCCGAAAAAAAAGTACTTTCACAGCTCCGTATTAGTTAATTACGCTACAACAACAAGGGAACGGCGCGGCCCCACCGCCCTCTCACCGCCCGCTCGGGGCGAGGCGGCGCCTCGCAGCGCCCGATTGACGTGCCTGTTGGCCAATCACGGGTCGATCTGGCAGGCTGGCGGCGATTCTATTGGCTGAGGAGGTAGCGGGGGGCGGGCGCAGCGCCGGGGGCAGGAGCCGTGCGCGGGGTGCCTCCCGCTACCCGCTGGTGCTGCGGGTCCCCGTGGGGTGACAGTCTGACACGGCGACAGGGCGGTGACAGGGCGACAGAGCGACCTCTCCGGCGCTGCCTCCTCGCTGGGAGCGAGCGCAGCCCCTCCGCTCCTGCTTTCCCGCAGCTCCCGCTTCCCTCCTCGCTGCCCTTCCTGCCTCGGGGGTCGCCCGCGATCGCAAAATGGCCGACGGGCGGGACGACGCCGCGGACCAGCTGAAGCAGTGGAAGAGCCACCGGGGCTCGCAGGTACTCGCCGGCACAGCCCGTTCCTCGCATCCCCGGGGGGAGCGGGCGAGCCCTGGAGCCCGAGGGTGCAGAGCCCGGGGCGTTCCGGGGGATGCGGGGCTCGCTGTGCGCGGGTGTCCCCGGGACACCTCCGGCGGGCGAGGCGCCCTCGCCCCGTGCCGCCCTCACCCCCACGGGCTGCGACCGTGCCGGGAACAGCAGGGGCACGGAGGGCAGGGGAGCTGCCAGCTGGCCCCGAGCGATGAGGGCGGTCAGCGCTGCCTGGCCCCGGCGTATCCCTAAGGCAGCAGTGGGGCTGCTCTGCGCCCAGGCCGCCAGGTCCTTGGGCAGAGATATTGTTAATTTTTCTCGTCTCAAATCAGATGCTTGCGTTTCAGTTTGCTGTCACATTGGTAGAACCCAATTGTAACCAGGGAATAACATAAAAGATAAAGTGTGTTCAGCAGTATGTGGGGACTTGCTGACCGGGTTGAAGTGAATTTTTTAGGAAAAAGTTCTTCCCTGAGAGGGTGGTGAGTCACTGGCACAGGTTGCCCAGAGAAGCTGGGGCTGCCCCATCCCTGGAAGTGTCCAAGGTTGGACGGCTCTTGACCAGCAATCTGGGATAGTGGAAGGTGTCACTGCCCATGGCAGGGGATTGGAAGTAAAGGGTCCTTTCCAACCCAAACCATTCTGGGATTCTGGGATTCTGTGAAGTGAATTGGCTGAAATCATAAGAGCATGTAACCAACAGCATGGCACTCAGCCATCTGAAGATACAGAATATTTCCAAAATATTTGGGTAAATGTATGAATGCTGCAAGACTTGATTTCTCTCATTCTTCGTCAAATCACTCTGACAGTTTCTGTATGTATTTTCTGACAGAAATGTGTATATTCCATTAAATACTCTTCCTGCTGGTTTTACTAAGCAGAAATCTTGCAAGATGGAAGTAGATGCCTCAGTTCCCAGTGGCTATATCTGTTAAGTCATCTTAATATTATTTTATTCTTCTTGCTTCTAAAAGGTGCTGTGTGAGAACTACCTGCTGAATTGTGACTTCATCAAGCCCCAGTGTGTGTCATAATGGCTCCTTTTTATCCATGAGTAATACTTTTTGTAGGGATGTCGGCTTTTCTGTAACATAGCAGCATTTGAAAACAGGCCAAGGTTAATTTGAAGGTTTGGGAGGCAACCCAAAATCTATGTTGCATAAGGAGTCATGAGACTTTAAGATAGAAAGTAGGGAGGGCTTATTAGAATTTTAAAGTGAGTTGTACAAGGTACAAAGTATCAGTAATGCCTGGAAGTGTGTACTTTGATGTGTGGTGTTTACAACAGCAGTGACTAAAATTCTCCTGGCTTTGTTTCCCTTCTTTCTGTCATGGCAGGTTGGTGCTGTAATGAAATACAAATGCAGATTCACGAGTTCTTGTCGTTAAGGTTTGGACTGCATGCAGCTCCCAACCGTATGAAAATACAGGCATCAAACAAGCTCAAGCCCAAAAGTAGTGTGAGAATTCTTCTTGCAACTACTGTGTGGTTCTTTTCCTCTCCCTTCACACTGATAGAACTTATTTTGTGTGCCCCATAGGTTATCCTGAAACCAAAGTGAATATATCCTACCATTAAAAAAGTAAATATTTTAAATTTCTAATGAGAATAGTAGAAAGGACCTTTCAGAAAGTCTACCTGCATAAACAAAAGAGACTGTACAGCCACAAAGCTGTTAATTTTTTTTATAGTCTTAGTTTCAACAAGCTGTGGTTTTAGCAACTACTTCTAGTAGTCCTAAATGTGATCATTAGAGATGAAGTGGGTTTTAGACCTGTTGAGCTGGGAAGGGCTGTGTTACCTCTACAAACCTTTGCTCTTTGTGGCATGGCTCACAACTAATATTCAAAGGTTTTTTCTACCCTTAAGATAATCTCACAGATATTTTAAAGGCATAGGTGAATCAAAAAGTCTCTGAGACTAAGGATACATTTCCTCCTCCATTCTGTCTTTTACCAAGCTGTTGCAAGGTCTTTTCAGAGGAAAAGGTCATAGATGTAGTATATCCATTATAGTTCAGCCTCAGTGTGTTTAAACCTACTGGGCTGCTTAGAACTGATGAAGAATTCTGAGGTAACCAGAGCTCTAATTCCACGTAATTTTTCTGTGTTTCTCTGTGGACTGAGTGAAACTCGGTTGATGCTTCAAGATGACATAAGTTTTGATGGCTTTAAAAAGTCACTGTTTGGACTGGAGGGGTCTTATGTCTCATGTTGAAACAGAGTTCCCATAATCCAGTCCCCAAATTTGCTTTTCTTGGAATATAGTAGTCAGAATTCATAGAAGGTGCTGCAGGTGTACAGAGGGTTTTTGTGTCACTGGCTGCCTTAGAGTGAGGGTGAGGTGGAATTCTCTGTGCACACAGAACACGTGGGAAGGAAGGAAATGTCTAATGAATAATAACACAAGGAGGTTGGAGAGGAAAATTCACAGTTGGGATGCCATTGATAGGATCTGTTCACTCCTGCAACCTCTCCTGTCTTAAATGAGTATGTCAGTGTCATTCATAGAAAAAAAAATCAATGAATCCATGATAAGAATAACTAATATATTGGGTTTTATCTGCGAGAGCCTTGAAAGCTTTTAATCAGCAAAACTAATCAATTCCTGGAATATGGTGGTGTCCTTCCAACTTTAATATGTGAAATTAAATTCTGATTCAAAAAGTTCAACTAGAAATTGTAGTTACCATTACAAATGAAGACAATAGCTAAGATGTAATAAAGCTTACACATTTAAGGGGGCTAAATTGTCTCCTATAGGACATAATTTTGAGAAGTTGAGCTCTTGGAGATGGAAGAACTTCTTGTACAGTCTAAATAGGTGATTTCTCAAATTGAGCAGTGAAATTGCTGAATTTTAAATGAACCAGAGAAAACAAAATACAAGGTAGGAGGTGCGTGATAAATAAGCAGTGGAAAAAACACTGAGAACAGTGTCTGCTCTTGCATATTTCCATTGACAAACCATAGATAATGTTTTGATTTAAGCAGATGTTGCTTTGGCTTACAATACTTTAAATAAAGCTGAAATGGGAACTTTCCTGTAAGTTTCTGAGCATCATGTGCCTGTTTGTTATATATTGTCTTTTTAAATGTTTGTGCATATTTCAGTGTAGATGAGAATTCCAGGCATCCTGAAGGGATTGAATTTATGCTTATATCTTTATGCTAATGAAGTGGTGAATGAAGAATAAAGAACTTGGATATTTTGGGAATGCAAGCCAGCTGAAGGAGTGTGTGTTGCATATTAGCAAGAACACAGTGGAAATGCAGTTATCCTGTCAAATGTCTTTTATGTGGTTATTCAGGTACCTGAGCTAAACAAAGTGTCTATAACTCCCTGTATTCTCTGCCTCATCCAGAGCTCTGGGTGTGGATGTGAATAATTGTTCTTTCCCTGCCTTTGTGGGTTGCCTCTTGGGGAAAAAAGAAGTCTTCCATCAGAATTTTGTTTGTTTACAGTAATTAAACCCCTTAAAGCAGAACTTCCCTTGTCAGTGTGAAAATTGGAACCCCCTAAAGTAGCTGATAGAAAAGTGAAGGCTTTTCCTCTCAAGAGTTGCTTTTTCCTTCTCTTCACCATCCCTTTTCATCTGTAGAACTTAGAAAGAAGGAGAACTAGTTATGAGGGGCTGAGTGAGTTTATGCTGGTGTGTCCTGTGGTCCAGGTAGGGTGGTGTGGATAGAGAGCCCATATGGATTCATGGCAGTTTAGTGCAACGTGTGACTGGGTTTGGTGTTAATCTGTGACTCGGGTATTTGAGCTCACCTCGTTGCAAACTTTATTTTCTTTTCTTTGTACTAACTTCTCTTCTGTTCTTCTACGTCTTTTATATTCATTCCCCTGGCTCCTGACAACAAATGTACTCCAGGAAAAACTGGCACCTCTGACCGTCGGGTCTCTGGAGCTGATGGACCTTTCTTGCTATGTTTTCTGCAGTACCCAGTAAAACAGGAGTATTGCCTTAGAGGATTGATTGTATGACCCCATATGTGATGCAGATAAAGTCCTTTCCACTGGGATTTTTTATGAGAAAATAGGAGTACACTCAATTATGGTGCTACAGAGTTCCAGCAGGTGTTTCTTGAAGTTTCTTGGAGATTTTTTCAGTTACAGGGTCATTCCTACTGTACAAGATGCTGCTGCTCTAAGTAGCCTATAAAACTTAAACTCTTAAGGTGTGAAAGGGAGGGGAAAAGGATGAGTGTGGGTTATCCTGGGCAGTTTCTTTAAAGACAATAACAATGTTAGAAAAAAAAGAAAAGCTATGATTGCTGTCATTTTGACAGGACATTTCCTGGCAGTAGGGCTTGTGTTGATCTTGGTCCTTCCGTGGTTCAGGAGTCAGAATGATGATTCCTCAGGTGTTCCTGTTATTTTCCATAGCTCTTCCAGACCAACAGTAATCACAGATACTCCCTTTTAATCTTTATGCTCTGTGACTGTAGCTCTTTCCTTATTCCTCTGTCCCTGTACTGACATTACCTCCTCCTTCCTTTCCTTTCTCCCTTATTACTTTCCAGCAGCTTTTTTAGCTTTCTCTTCCCATCCCAAATTTTTCTTGGAGCAAGATTGATAGTCTCAACAAGTAATATTTCTGAACTGTGGAAAACATTCTTGGATTATACATGACTTGGACTCTTGTTCTTAAATAGCCTCAGACACAGCACTGGGATGTAGTTGACACATGTATTTTCTGTAACTACTTCCAGAAACTTAAATCATTTTGTCATATACTTGTTCATGTGACATGTAATGGTTGAACAGTCTGCACATTGTGTGATTTAAACACAGAGGGCTGGATTTGATATTGACTGTCCCCTGCTTTCAGAAACCAGATGTCTTGACCACTGGTGCTGGGAACCCCATAGCGGATAAGCTGAATATTCTGACAGTGGGGCCACGCGGACCTCTTCTTGTCCAAGATGTTGTTTTCACTGATGAGATGGCTCATTTTGACAGAGAGAGGATTCCTGAAAGAGTTGTGCATGCAAAAGGGGCAGGTACGTTTAAACCTACGTATTTTCTTTGTGTAGAATTAGAGTTAAAAGCTTTTCAGGTAACATGTAGATTGTGACAATAAATTGCATTATGTTATCTATAATTTAGTGTTATCAGTTATGATAAATCTGTATGAACAGATTTAGCAAACAGTTCTAGCACAACAGTGCTAGGGCCTGGTTTAAAAAATCTCAGTGCCAAAACTTGAAGCACTGAAAAATTGCTTAAAAAAATTAAGTAGAAAATATGTAGTTATGTGATTTTTACTGTATTTTCTACAATCTCTACTTCCTCTGCCTGTTCCTCCATAGTATCCCATTCCTCTGGAAGGGAAAACCTATCATCTCTATTTTAATGTTTGTTTTCATGTTATTTAATAGAGAATCTTGGCTTTGTCTTCCAGTGTATCTGTCTGTCAAAGCAAGCTGATGATCTAATATTTAATATAAAACCCTGAATAATTTAAAAATTTATTATTAATCTTAGAAGGGTACAACTATCACCTCTGATTTTTGTTATGTGTTGCCCTAGAAGGAGCAGCATATGAATTTGTAATGTGAACGTACATGGGAAAAGTTGTTCTGTGGGGGTGGAAAAAGTTTTGTTGCTTCATCCAGCTTGCAAGTGGACCAAAAATTCTGCAACACATAGCAGGATTAAAGAAATAATAAAGATAAATACACAGATCGTGGCAGAAGAGCATCTTCTGTATTGCTACTGGGACCTGTTAACAATCAGTTAAGGAGCAGAGAGGGAGCACTGTGCAAATAGAGTGTTAAACAAGTTTCATTTTGTGAAAATAAATGGAGTGTTTAGTGCATGGAAATGAACTGTGTTTAAACTGCTGTATTCCCATGTTTGCTTTTGGCTTGAAGTTGTATGTTGGACCACAGTAGAATAACAGATGAGTGGAACGAAGGTACCTAGAGCTGATCTTTTGGAATTCCTGTTCTTCAGGAGCCTTTGGCTATTTTGAAGTCACTCATGATATCACCCAGTATTGCAAGGCAAAAGTGTTTGAGCACATTGGGAAAAGAACTCCCCTTGCTATTCGATTCTCCACTGTTGGTAAGACTTTAAAATTATTGTGTACCCTCTTCCATGTGTGCCTTGGTTAGCAGTGTGGAGCACTTAAGGTAGTTTCAAATGCCTTCTGCCAACCCAGTCTTCCTCTTAATTTAAATTATTTAAAATTAATTAATTAAATGAATTGTATGTAAGACCTTCAGCACCTTCTGCCTCTTTCTGTCAGAGTTCTCAGGAGACACTTTTCTGACTGAAATGTGAGAGGGAGGGTGACCTGCACTGTGTTTTTTCTAACAGAAAATCTGCTTTGTTTCTGGTTGGATCATAATCAACACTTGCACGCTGCAACTTAACACTTGGAAGTTAAACACATGTAATCTCTTATGCCCTGGGAATGTTTTGGGGATGAACGATGTAACCTAAATACTGGGCAAAGGAAAAGAAACAATCTTCCAGAAATAAACTCCGATTTTTTTAAACAGTTGAATACATAAACTAGCAAAATCTTAAATGCTATAAGTTAAAACATGCATTGTGATCAATATCTTGTCTGATAGAAAAAAATTATAATGTGTATGTTACTACTTTATCTATATTTAAAAGAAATCCTAATGAGGATTCAGTTCTGGAAGCATTGGAGAGAAAAAAGTAGTCCAAGAAGGCTGTGTCAGCAAAAATTAAGGGGTCCTGATAGAGAGTGAAGACATGGAGCTGAGTTTGACTTTCTCTTCCTCTTCCCCTCCCCCTTTCCCTCCCCTCCCCTGTTTGAACACGTTCTGCAGAACACAGTTTTTATAATGAGGGGATGAGTGTCCTACTTATTTCATCAGGATGTTCTGAACACTTCTGGAACACTTGTGCTCAGCTGTTGTGCTTGGCACTTCTGCCCTGGTAGAATTTACCCATTGAAAATTCTGTCCTGGATGAAGCAGGAGGAATTTAAAGGATTACAGTCCTTCCATAATATTTTATTAGGCACGCTGGTTAGATTGCTACCTTCTACATGAGAGCTTTCACACTGGGATTTGATGCACAGAAACAAATGTGGCTTTAGATGATTCAGCCTTATAATCTGATGATGTCTCTGTTAGTGATAATGCAAATTGCACTCTTAATTGGTTCATGTGGATATACTTGTTTTTCTTTCTTTTAACTTTAATGTTCGGGTGAGTTTCTGTTCACACTTTGAGGTACTGTTAAAAATATGCCTAAAATTCCTTGGTATAGAAAAGACTTCAATGCCCTTTTAAGATATTATGGCCTAATTTCAAGTTATATGGGGTTTTGCTTACAATTTGTATGCATTTCCTCTCCTAAGACTTCTCTATGTCCATGTGTTTCTTCAAGCTGGAGAAGCCGGGTCAGCTGATACAGTTCGTGACCCTCGAGGCTTTGCAATGAAATTCTACACGGAAGATGGGAATTGGGATCTTGTGGGAAATAATACTCCCATCTTCTTTATTCGGGATGCAATGCTGGTAAGCCCCAGGGACGAGGGTACTTTGGGAAAGAGTCCAAAAGTTCATTCACATCTTATTCTTGCCTCACTGAGAAGTAAAACCTGTTAAACTTTGTTACATGCTCTGAACATTTTTGACTTGAAAAGATGTTACTAAAAAAAAAGTGAATTTGAAAACTAATGGTTGATTACTTATGTGATTTCATACTTTTCACTCTGAATTTTCACTTTAAAAGCTTCTTGCAAATTCTTTGTATTAAATCTGATTTTTTTGGTCTTTTTGTAAGCTTAATAGCTCTTTGTAAGATGGTTTCTAGTGTCTTTGCATTGTCAGATACTCAGTAAAGTTACACAGATTTGAAAAGATTTACCTCTCACCTTATCCATCACAGAATGAAAACAGTCTTTATCTCTGAACAACCTGTTTATCCTAATTGTAAATGCTTGACTTTACCCTAATTTTACTGGTCTGTGAATGAATTGGTTGCAGGAGGGACGTGACAGTAGAAGATTTTTCAGTTATCTTACAGATTTGTCTCAGTTTTCAATATGCTGTTCTTTCATTGTTTGTCTTGTTCTTGATCTCATCTAATTTCTTTTTTTTTTCTCCTCCACTTCTGGACAAATTAGTTTCCATCCTTTATCCATAGCCAAAAGAGGAACCCTCAGACTCATTTGAAGGATCCAGACATGGTGTGGGACTTCTGGAGTCTTCGTCCTGAGTCTTTGCATCAAGTGAGCTTCTCCTTTGGCTTTATTTAGTAAAATCATGTTATGAAGCATGTTTTTAACTCTCTCTTCTCCATGTTTGATCTAGAAGTCTATGTAGTCTTAGTCATATTTGTAATTTAAATTATCCATGCTTACCTGTTCCATGCTTATGGGAAAGATCATAACATTACCACGAGGTTTATGTCTACTTCTTGTGGGCATTAAACTTCACATAGGTTTAATTCCCAGTTTTTCTTTGTGCAAAACCAAAGCAGTTTTTTCATTAACACTCTTAAGACTTAAACTAGAAATTCCTCAAGGAATTCCTAACATTAACACAGCTTCCAGTGATACAGATTAATGCAATAAACAAACTTAGTCTTGAATGATCACTTTATCTTTGGTCTGATGAGCCCTTTAATATTGTTTCATCCTTCGCTTTAGGTGTCTTTCCTGTTCAGTGATCGTGGAATTCCCGATGGTTATCGCCACATGAATGGATATGGATCACATACTTTTAAACTGGTTAATGCTGAGGGAAGAGCAGTTTATTGCAAATTCCATGCCAAGGTATTGATCTTTTTTTTTTTTTCCATTTATGTATTAGAGCTATACATCATGTTGGATTAAAACCATAAAAATGTTCAGTGACTTTTCAAGTTTAATTCAGAGACAACTTTTTAGTGCTTGGACTCAAAAGGTGTGTGGTGTCCTTGTTTAGTATCAGTAGCATACCTTTAATCAATATGATGGGTGATTGTTCTTGCTAACACAGCAGTCATTTACTAGACTATAAAGAACTCTTCTTTGGGGAACTGTTTCTTGTTATTGGAGCACTATCAGTGAACTGATTTTTATCTGGAAGGGAGCTGTTGAATGTACTGTAAATCTGAACTCAAATTGTTGCAAGTTGGAACATGGACAGTCTCACTCTTGGAATACAAATCTTGTTAAAATTCATTGTGATTAATGATTTCTGTAATACTTTGTAACTGGTGCTGTTGCTTTTATTGCTTTTAGACTGACCAGGGCATCAAAAACCTCTCTGTAGAAGAAGCAGGAAGATTGGCTTCTACTGATCCTG